AAATTACATTTGTACGCATTAGAAAGAAACTTTTAGTGCACATGCACTCGAGCATAGCTCGTAAATGGTCAACGTTGCTATCTACGTCCGACCGATCCTGTGTCGCCAGGCTTTAAAAAAAACTGTATCATCAAAAAAGTTTCGTGCATAAGCACGGTGAGGTTATAACCTCTGGATTCACTGGACAAATGCACGTTGCCGGGGCATTGGAAAGCTGTTTGGGCTCAAATAGCCACTTTCATAGCATACCGCTTGAAGTTTCGCCCGATGTAAGCGATGTATTACTAGATCGCATACAAACAATAATTTATCCAGGTCGAGTGCACTGTACACTGTACATCCTGCCATGTTGTTGGAAAAACGCCTTGACCAAGAATGGGCGTTTGTGTCGGAGTAGTGGCAGCATTGAGTGCATAATAAGCGATCACAACAAGATACTTACCATCGGGCTATTTTGACACAAAATGTCGGTGTGATATTATAAGAAATTTCTCTCCCTCACCATTCCTGCTGCGTGCTTAGCACTAAAAGACTCGTCAGTGACGTCACATTATTCCTTTGGTATAGACTCATGCCGCGTAACGCACTATTTAAAACCATGACCAAGTCATTCTCTTGACGTGGACTATATCGAAAGGGTGTACAGGCTGGGATAGAGATGTACTACTTCAATACATTTCCTCCATTAAATGGGTATTAAATGTTTGGATGTATTTTTAAAAGGAATATTCACTCAATGCACTTAGTGCCGCCTTTGTATTTTGAAGTACCTACTCATCCGATAGAGGTGGGTAGTTTAATTCATCATCGGGTTTAAGTAATATTGGATAAGTTTCTTGTCGTCAAGACCTATCTAAGATCGTTTACAGACATCTCGTCTAGCTTTAACAGAGCAGTTATCGATGAGAGGGCCGCAAGGCCGATTTACCATCAACGAGACTCTACGTAATCGACCATTGTATACAGCTTACCGCTAGTCCCGTCAAGCGACATTACAGACGTGTTCAGTCTAGTAGCCGCCATTTGGCGTCTCTGAAGTGAGAGACAGAATTTCTCATTAATGATAAAACCAATTTCCCTACAAATTGACTAGCTTTATCAACCTTAGCGCACTCTGAACGACAGATTATGTATCTACCAGCATCTGATGCACAATAATTTAATTTGAAACCATCAATCGGCGAATTATCCGCAACTGTTGCACATCAGACTATTAGTGTCTGGGCGTCTCGCCAACAGAACTATTACCGGCATTTAGTGAGGTGCTTTGAAAGCCATCCTCACTTTGTGGATGTTCACGTGCCACAGCACCTGGATCAGAGAAGCCTTGCTCTTATAACCGGGTATTTTGCCAACAATTTCATTACCGATATATCGGTGAAATGCTGTTACATTTGCCCGAACTCTATGAATTTTGACGTACTACTGCACATGACTTAATGGGATAAAATCGATAAATGCTTGATTGGGGTTCATATATGCTATCCGTAATCAGTAGGTCAACTTGTAGATATGAGCCACCCAACGAAGTACGTGCCGTTTCACTATAGCGAACGACATCAAAATAAATTAATTTAGCATTCCGATGTTTAGCACACTTATGGACTTGTTCAGTGGCTCGCGACAACATCGCTTATGTTGTCTAGCAAGTTGGGACCATGGACTCTCCAAAAATTCACTTAAATTTTTGCGGGTTGCGCCTTAGTACTTGGACCTCCAATCAATACATGGCTTATGGCGTTCCAGCCAAAATCTACCGATAATGAGATCAAATTTTGAGTCCAACCATAGGACAAGACAACGTTCAATGTTATAAAAGTCTAAATACTTATGGACTAAGTTAGATGGAACCTTAAGTCTCGGTAACACGTGCCGTAATAACGTCACCTTCATGGGCTTTTAGCGCTATAGATACTTCTGACTCCTTTTAGTTTAACGGCATCGGGTAGAGTTGCCCAATACCCAGAGTCAACAAAATTGACCATGGCTTTGTAAATTTAAACCATTTCTGACGAAATTTAACAAGCCTGAATTGTATTCGTGCTTCCAGACACGGTCCACGAGATCCTGAGAGGCTTAGCCCTGCTCAAAGCTACTTCCTAGAGCAGCAACTGAGCCTAATGCACCCCAGTAGGGAATCCCTCACCTTCTAAGACTCGACGTGTTTCCGCACTGTGCCATGTGTCTGATTGGGGAGGCATTGCAACTCGGCCAAATATGTTGTCCTTTACGTAATATCAACAATTATTACGTTGCTGTTCCGCATCTTAAGCTAGTTTCTTCATAGTCCGCATCCATGAGCTCTGCCCTATCAGACGAAGATCGAGCATACCTAAGCGCACCTTAGCTAGCCGCTTTGTACTTAGACTCAGCATTTAACGCTACGCCCACATGCTCATTAAAAATTAAGGCACAGACATGAACAACTTCATTCCAATCGACTTTAGTACAAAGAATTTCTACAGAAACGGTAACTCGGACTTCTTCAGGGGGGGTTCCTTGTTCCTTGATTAGCGAGAAGAGTTCTCAAACGTTCGACATAGTCCAACAATTTCTTTCTCTTTTTCCGGGAGGATGAGAAATTTGAATGAATTCAATAGGCCTGGCTAGGCAATGCAAACACGCGAGACATCTGTATATTGAGCGGGCTCCATGTGGAAGATGCAGCGTCAACAGACGCAATACATGTCAAAGCCCTACGTTTGACTCTTCCGCCAAGTTTTAAATTCCAGGCCAACTCTTTTCTGCTCGGTTTCAGCATAGCGGCGCTCATTGAATTTTTTTATCTCTTGAATTTAGAGAAGACCAGCTCCTCTTGATTTCTCCTCAAAAATTATTTGCGCTCAAAGTGGCCGGGCATGCCTTAGTAAACAATGGGAATTCGTTACATGATATTTTACAAAAGGTAAATACGAATCATGAAGATTCTGTTAAAAAACATATTATCACAGTAGTAGTCTAATAAGTAATAATGTGATGCACTAAAAAATCTTCTCAGTGGATGATATAGAATTACGATATTAGTCAATGAAGTTGAGATACGATAGAAGAACGCGACGAATGGTGTACAAATAGTAACAGGTCATGTTCGTTTTGAGATGTAGTTAAATAAAAGCTGATTATAAATTTATCAACAGCACATTATGAATATGCTAAATACAGTAACTTCTTACTCTACATCTCGTGTCGAAATCTTGCTTTTCACGATGCGTGTACGTGAACTCTCGAGGCACCACCTTAATCTGTGTTCAGTATAATCAGCTTGTGCTGTGACAGTAGGCGCGACCAGTACCCCCTTCAATGTGGCTCTTCATCGAGCATTGGGATGGATCGTGTCGGCAAAGCCAGAAGACACATGATCACGGGCCTGCCCGATGAGCGTGGCCACAAATTTTTAAAAGCCTACAGCCGTGCCTTGAGCACTTCCAGACCTTGGTTACCATTTATTTTTGCTTAAATTAACTCCCTTAGCTTGTCAACCGCCAATGGAGGTTCGCCTTGCAACAATAAGATAGGATTCCATACTAAAAGAGGATCAGTTGATTCGAATACGGTTTAAGACTGACTACAACTGCTACCAAGTGTGGTGGAGCCATACATCTCTTATTCAGAAGAATTTTCGACTCAAGAAGTCATTAAGCTCCACGTAGCTAAATTCCTATTAGTTATTATGAAATCCAGTCCTTGGAACTAAAATACAAAAGCTTAAACTAGTTAGGCTTTTAGAGCTTCTAGTCCTGGTTAAGGGACTAACGCACACTCTAAGAATTGTACGCACAAGGTGCTCTATGTCACACACCACAAGCTTGCTATTTACTATCAATGATGTACTGACGTCTAAGATTGACACATATCACTAATTGATCAAAAGGAAACTGAACCTTTTATCTCTCAGTTTTATCGGCAAAAAAACTCATACAACAATAAAAAAAGAATTGCATACTAATTTGCATAGTAATCGTTGGTATGTTGAAAGTTTGATAGATGGTACTCCAATCTGTCATCAATAATTAATTTTTAGCTACATCAATTTTCTCAGAAAAACTTGGGATTGCATATCACATTTACAATTTATACACCTTTTGGGCGATCACATTCGTGTGACGCCGTTACACAACAGAGGTGTAAGGTTTGGTTTGGCAAGGTTGTGCACAATAGGTTTGGCAAAAAGAGTGTAAACATCAGGGATGAGAAAGAATGTGAATTGATGAGAAAGGGAAGTGGTATGAATTTATCAACTCCCTTGATTTATTTACAATTATTCGCGTGTTAAGAAATAATTCTTAAAAATCGAAAATGAACCAAAACTGAGCCAACACTAAAAAAATTAGGTTGCAAGTATCGACCTCAAAGGAAGGGCTGTGAGCGTAAGGAAAATGGGTGCAAATGCATATGTTTTTGATACAAAGTATCACGTAGAGGACACACAATTTGTCCACCAGAAAGTCGCGTATTGGGATAACGATAGCGATTCCTTACGTGCTCTATGCAACTAGTGATGCGCAAGGTTGCGATAACTAACGTGTAGGTAGAGCAATACAGAAGGCTTGGACTAGGAATAGGAGTTTGCGAGCTAAAAAAGAATTACTTCACAATTTGTCTGCTTCCCTCAAAAATATTTTCAACAGCCACATAAGACGCTGAAGAAAAACACTCGCCGCTACCGTGTCTGCTTAGAAATCTGAAGTCTTTATCTGGAGCGACGACCAGAAATATTTAGAGTTCGTCAAGCGATTGACGCTGGAGAAGGAAGGGACTGATAGCGCACATGTAGATGGTCAAGTTTGAATCGGATAGGACCGAGTCGTGGATGCTGAACGACCTGAAGGCACAGGACATGATTGCTCAAACACATAAGCTGTAGCATTATACCAATTTTCGGTCGATGGTAATCCAGGCAAAAATAAGGCTGCGTGAGTTCTACTATCGCATGGCCATCCCAAAATCGAGTGAAGATGACCCGATGCCTACATGAGTTCAAGATAAACGACAGCATATCAATGACCAAGCACCTGGACAAGTCCGATGAACTTTTCATTAGCCTTCATTATCTAAGTGAGCCTGTTGACAATGTGCGGCAGCTCGTAATTCTGCTTAGGAGTCTACCTGCAGAGTTACAAGTTATTCTATCGATATTGGAGAACACCAAGGGTGTTACGCACATTGGGATGAAGGAGGATCTGCTCAAGTAGTATGAGCGACGGCGTAAGAAGGAAGCCACGGAGCGCGTGCTGAAGTCTACTTTATTTGGGGGCAAGTCAAAGAATGCAATATTTGGAAGAACGGCAAGAAAAAAAAAGGATGCAAGAACAACGTGTTGGGAAAGAAGTGAATTAAAAGGAAAGTGTTGTAGCTCTGACACGTTTGTTCACATGAAGCGAAACCGACCGGACATGCAGGGATCTGGCAAGGAGAAGATGATGCAGTCTTTGCCGCTAACGACAGTCGTTCATCAAGGTGGATGATCGACAGTGGTGCGACGGCACACATGACGCCGCACCGAAAGACCAGCCTGATAACAAAGACATCATGACAAACAATAGGGTTATTATCGAAGACGGCAAGAAGATGTTTGTCGCAGGAACTAGGTCGATGTGTTAAACGGACAATGGAGACAAGTGCATTCGGATGTTGGGCGTCCTTGACATCCCTGGCCTTGACCGACGACTACTTTCAGTTGGCAAGCTCGCAGAACGCGGTTTTATCTTAAATTTGAGCTCACATCATGTTTTACTTGAAACAAGAACCGAGTAATTACCTCGAAAAAGGTTGGCAAGTCCTGCAAGCTAAATTGTGACCAGGAAACGGCGTATATCGTGGCATTTTTGGACGTCGAAAGCAAGTTGGAGCTTTAGCACGCTCGAATGGAAAAATTAAACACAGAAGCGCTGGCAAAAAATCAGCGCGTAACGATCGGTATTTTGATTAACAGTTTCAAGATGAATGCTCGCTGCAGTAAATGCATAAAAGACAATCCAGAAGTGGCGCCATTTCATCTCGCTCGCAGACGAAGACGTCCCGAATGCTAAAACTTGTGTATTAGTGATGTATGGAACCATTGAAGATGGAGGATAAAAGTGGCACGAATTATGTGCTCGATATCGTTGACGACTACAATAAGTATGGTGTGGCATACGTCCTTAGTAAGGAAAGCAAATTTACGATAATATTGAAGTCTTTTAAACCATGGACGATAATCAGTGGGGAGAGCGCATCAAGTGTCGACTTTTTGACAACGGCATCAGGTTTGTGAACAAGGCCTTGAACGGAATCTGTCAGCGTAACGGCCTTGTGCAACAAAAGACTGTGTCATACATCCTTAGAAAAATGGAGTGTAGAAGCGTATAAAATAAACGATAGTGAAAAAGGTACGAAGCACGATGCGCGACAAGGGCGTATCTCCTTTTTTGGTGTGCATATGCTATATGCACGGCACCGTACCTGCCTAATCGGACAGCAAAGCACGCACACTAAATCGATTGCATACGAGATCAGGTTCAAGATGATGCCTCGACTGAAAAAGGTTCGAGTAATAAGATAAAAAGGTCATTTAAATTTTGAAGGCACTTCACGCAACGAGCTGGAGGTAAATATTTCAAAGGATAGTCTTAGCTATCGGTAAAACACGAAGAGGTTTTTTACGTATCAGCTGGAGCTAAAGAAAGTAACGATGTCAAGATGAGTGAAGCTAGACAAACGCTAAGTGAAAGGTTTTTAAGACACTTCAATGATGGGTAAAATTAAAGTCATTGACGTCATCAACGCTTTGGTGAAGTGGCTCAGCCTGTGCTTGAAATTAACGCTTCCGGAGGATGAACCGATGGAGTCAACAAAGGACCCAGATTATTAGATAATGAACGTGAGCATGTTCAATCATAAAGAGAAATGAAAAAAATATCATAGGTAGATGAATAAAGAGTAAAAGACGACATGGTGTTCAGGCCTGAAATGGAACGATATAGAGGCCCAAGATAATCAGTTTCCATTCTTAGTAGTGGATTGAATGTGGCTGAAGAGCACAATGTGGAAAGCAGTGAGGATCCTGGCGATGTAAATCTCTTTTATTCGCCATCACCCGAGCGACCCCGTGATGATGAAGATAGTCTGCTTGCAGATGCTCTACTCGCCTAAGTGGCAAATTCTGGATATGCAGATGATGCACCGAAGACAAATTAGCAAGCCCTAAAAGATACGAAGCCAATACGTGGGTAAAGTCTATGAGCGCTGAGCTCAAAGCTCACGCGAAAACGGATCATAGAAGTTGGTCCGGAAGATAAAAAAGACCAACTAGTCGGATGAAGAAGATTTTTTGATAAGAAACGCAACAAGCACATGTGGTGCGGTACAAGTCATGAATAGCTTAAAACAATTACAAGTTGAAGTTAGCTGTTTCATGATCGCCCAAGGTAAACATAAACTCGATTACGGTCGTGTTAGCTGGGGTTGTAAAGAGGCACCCTTTGTTTGGGGTGCTGCGAAACTTCACGTACACTAGTACGTGCAGAGGAAGCTATTCAACTTAAACGACTCGTTCAAGTAAGGGCAAAATGAGAGCTGTATTTAATAAATTTAAGCTATCAAAATAGCTTTAATCTTTATCAAACTATATTAATCTACATTGTGGTATGACGACAACCTGCTCAACAATCATTACGCGCGTCTAGCAGCGATTGGTGGTGGTCTGGGTCTAAACGTCTTAATCGACCAATCCTGGAGCAGCGCATGAATATTTTTAAAAAGGGGATAAAGTCCCTTTAAAACTACCCACCTCGAATAATATCGGCAGAATATTGTCACGCTAGACAATCTCCGTATTGACACCATTTGGTGTCAATTTCATGTAACGGGCTACCCCGTCACATCACCCCCCCCTTTACCGTAAATCACCTGTTGATCAAATTAGAATTGAATGGGATACGGTGAACACCGTTGGATCACTCTAGGGAAGAGAGGCACTTGCTGGTCAAATTCCATTTTTTGCCAATCCAACGCATGGTTTTAAAAACCACGCGAGCTGCCACTGCAGCAGCAAGAAGGGCGGCTGCACGCAAGTGTGCGGCAGCGGAAAGTGCCTCTCACGCCCCAGCAGCAGGCGATTCGTCGCCTGTGTCGTGAATCCTCCACGTGGTGAATCATTACGTGCGACAGGTACATCCGTTGCATCTGCAGCGGGTACCTCGAGTCGTAATCAAGACGAGTCTGAGATAGAGCTCATCTATTCTGGCGAGTCGGATGATGCATCCTTCTCTAAGGCGACTCCTTACGCCTCGGGATCACCCGGGGCGGAAACTGCAAGAGCCAGGTTGAATGTTTTTAATCAATGTGGCGGTATTATGACCGAGATCTTCAGATCGAGTGATTGTACCGATGAATCTCTGCCTCACGCAAGTCTATCCAACGATAGGACGCTTGCAGATGGTGGTGATGCACCTACACAACACCATGAGCGAAGTAATCTCGAGGGATCGGGGTATCACTGATGCCAGTTCTCATGCTGGCACCAAATAAGAGGCCAGGGACCGAAATGTCTTGTGCCACGCTCCCCAAGTGGAGTCTCCGTGAATGCCGCCATCCAGAGAGTTGGACCGGTTGGCTGGAACGACTACCGAACGGGATCGAATCCCGTTGTTCGATTGCAAAAAGATTTGCCCTCCTGATTTCAGCACGGAAACTATCCGTGCTGAGAAAGAATTCTTCACAGATGCGTTCTTTAAACATCGGTGGTACAATGGTAGCCGTGTAAGAGACGGCTCGGCCTTGGTGCAGGGATGGAATGCCCTCATCCACAACATCGGGTGCACTTGGCCGTGAGGCCTGGCTCGCCCAACTTGATGCAGCTCGCATCAAGTTTGAAAAGCGCAACCAAGTCCAGAATGCGATACAAGTTGAACCGAATGTTAAGAGAGGCAGGAATACCCTCTCTTTCGTGGAATGATTCATGTCTAGGTTGCCTGGACAACTCGAACCGTGCCCCTAGGGAGGCCTACCTCCCTAATGTTCCCTACGGGAGAGCGCGTATCTCTTCTGAGATTGCGAAGGTAATGATACTTTGCAATTAATGAACTCTCGTTCGGGGAGGTCGTATTCTGCCGGCCCTACTTCGAACGCAGCGGGTGGGTATTGTCAAATTGCTCGACGAGACCGAATGACATCGACAATCAGCCGGGCACGAGGCTCCCAGCTGTCCCACGCCGGTGGATAGCCACACCAGAGAACGAGGTAACTCGTCCAGACGCTATTCACGTCGCGGTATTTCAGATACATTAGGAAGCGTTGACCACCGCCAGAATCCACCAAAGGATGGGGTGGTGGCGGTAACACCTGCTTCGGCTTGAGGGTCGGATCAAGTTGATGTTCAGGAACTGAAACGTGTAGCGGAACATTACGTGATCACCTGGCTCATGAACCGACTCAGCGTTATGAGATCCATGACCTTGTAAGGGACAATCTTTAATTACTTAGCGCACGATTTCTTAAACGATCGTGCCTAGTTTGCATTCGCGCAACTTGGGTACGAAGATTCGATTCATTCTCTGCGTGACGAGCTGGCTGCAGCTCTTTGATACATTGCTCAACTGCGTGAACGGATCGCTTCGCTAGTCAACCAGACTGGCTCGCTAAAACGGGACAACTAGAAAGTGGTCTCGGCTCACGACCGCGGAGATGTTCTTCGCCTCTCGAAACGGGATCGTACTGATATTACGGGCGGGTACGTCCAACGTAGGACGCAGGATGCGTACACATCTTGCGAGGCAGTTCAATCCTGTATGCGTTGCCCATTCGGCGCAAAAAAAGGAATTGGACCGATGTGCCTGGGCAGTAATTTACTGCTGCCCACGCTTGTCACTGCGTGTTTCGGTAGATTTACTGTAGACAGTATGACTAAGTCTCCTTCATTAAATGATAAAACATTTGCTCTTTCATGTTTTTCTGCGTTTCATTTCTGCTTGTCTACTGCATCTGCAATAGAGGTTTGAACGAAGCGGACATCAGTGCGCTTCGTGTAGACTGTTGAAAGAACATTGGCTTCGCCCGTGAGGGCGTCTTAGTCCTCACTATGGTACCGTTGACGATGCTGAACAAACCAGCATTGTCGTCATCATCGTCATCTGTGTCGATGTAATCGACATCGGGATTCATCACGTCGACACCATTGTCGACGTGCGTTGAGCAAGAACCAGATAGGTTTTCG